TTAATATAGTCTCTGTCATGCGTGTGTGTGTGTATTATATATACATATATATATATATACCACATATCAAATCAATTGCTGTATTAAATACTCTATACATACGAACAATTTAGCGGACTGAAATTTAAACCGATTCAATTAAAATCACTTTCTATTTGAAGGTTTGTTCTAGTAAGTATTTAATTTCTTGTAATGAATTGCCCATCAACACCAATCTCTATATTAAATCCAACAGTGGTTTGATAAGATAAAAATAATAATGTGACTGTATTGTATGTATATCTTACCAATAAAATAAAAAATAATTTTAAAATGTATTATATGTATATCTTACCAATAAAATAAAAAATAATTTTAAAATATATTTTTTTTTGTCAAAATTCTTATAAAATTATGGTCTTTTCCTATGCATGGCACGATCCATTGCATAGAGGAGAGAAGAGATCACTTTTGAGAAGGAGAAAGTCTATAGTATATTCTGATGGTTACGGTTCTCCGTTGTTGGATTATTCATATCAGGTGATCGAATCCCACCACCACATCCAACGATGAAGAATCTCGAAAGTATAATACTCCGGAGTATTGTAAACTTTCATCTCTAGAGGGTGGAAACGAAATCCGTCTTACTCTCAAGAGTGGAAACTAATCAAGCAATCAGACAAGAAAAACAATATTTATTGAACGAATATAAAAGATTATTTCATCTTTAGAGGGTGGAAACGAAATCCGTTTTACTCTCAAGAGTGGAAACCAATCAAGCAATCGGCCAAGAAAGGCAATATTCATTTAACGAATATAAAAAGATTAATATACCCTTGATGTTTTGCCTAATTTTCATTTTTATACCTTTCACTTTCTCTCTCTAAAGAACTTACAAAATTATTTCATCTCCATAACTCAACCAGGGCCATCACCTTGACCCATAACCATCATCTCAATTCATCGTATAGTGCCATTAAACATCAAAACCCTTCAAACCACCTATTCTTTTTCTAGGAAGAAGCCCCCAAATCAACAGTCCACCATGATATATGGACCATAGATCCATTTTCTTTCACAAAAATCAAATGAAGCTTAGATAGACCCACCTTCTTGTATCATGGAAGTTGGCACTTCTACTTCAACCTATGTTAGTAATGATCATGTGTGTGTATTTAATAAACACACACACACACACATATATATTTTGTGTTGGGTCAATAAGGTATTATGATTACCAGGTGTTTTTTTAGTAAAGTAATGCATTCGGTTTTTGTAGTTCCTTTAATAAATAGAGTCCAACGACTCTTTCTCTAAGTATTTTATGTTTTTGTTTCAATTACTAATATCCAGGTACTTATCATAGTCAGTAATTCTCATATCAGGTTACTAATTCTTACATCAAATTAGTTGGTTATATAGTCAGTAAAATAGAGTAAAAAAATATACTGTATCATTTTCCTTTCTAGTATTATTTTGAACAGTAACTCTATTGATTTGCTACTTAGGCCAATCAAAAATTTTGTTTGTCCGAATTTTCAAGAGTAATGATAATTGATAAGTTCTCCGATTTTGAGAAAAATTAATTTTTTTATCTTAAAAATTGTTAAGAGGTGTGACGGTATAGTCCGAGTAGTAAAGGATCAGATCTTAAGTGATCCGACTCTATGATCCCTAATTTCACTTATTAAAAATAAAAAATAATAATAAAAAAAAGTAAAAATTGACAATTTTACTGTTATGCTCTGTTCCGTAGGCAGATTAAAAATTTGTTTGTCCATATTTTTAAGAGTGATGATAGGCTCTCCGATTGTGAGAGCAACTATTTTAGTGTTATATTGATCATGAAGTCTCATTGTGTGTATCAGTGTGTGTGTGAGAGAGAGAAGGTTTGGTGTTTAGAGAGGGAAATCTCATCTCGAAGAGTGTGATTGATAAAAGCTTTGGTGGGAACCCATGATCTTGCGCAGGGGACTCCAATCAGAATTTGAGCATCGAAAGTAGTGCAAGATAAAGGAATAAATAATAAGCCAACACAACAAAATTTTATTTTTGAACATTTTTAAAATTAGAAGGTTGAGTTGATATTTGATAAATTATTTTTGATATCCATTAAAGAGTCTGACCATAATTAGTGGAAAAATTTAAATTTATCTCGTATAATTAAAGTTTAATCAAGCCAAAATTGTAAACATATTTTTATGTAAAACGTTGCGGACGTAGCAAAATCAATCATTAATAAACTCCAAGGGTACAGAGGCGTTAGCAGTAATTTAGGAGATAAGTTCTTAAAGTCTCGCTTTCGAACTGCACTCCTAACTTAAATAGTCGTATGTATATTTTAAAAAAAAATAATAATAAAAAAAATCAACCATTAATAAGCAAGCTAAAAGGCTAACGGTATAAATCTAATGAAGTGCAAAATGTAAAAACAATGTAATTCCACATCTTCTTAATAATAAAATTCACTTTTATCTTAGTTACTGAAAGGGGAAAAAAAAATTAATAATAATAAAATCCCCCCCCCCCCCCAAAAAAAAAAAAAAAAGGAATAATTTGAAAAATATTTAACTTTTTTCATTCTATAAAATAAATTGCATAGGCAGTCCTAAGTTTTTGGGGACTCAGTGCAAAAATTAAATTGGGGCCCTACTTAGCATAGTCTCACTCTCACATAAAAATATAAAAAAATTAAATAAAAAATTATTGTGATTAAATTAATGTCATAAAGTAAGTTTTATAACTAAAATTTATCAAGAGTTTATAAAATTCACTAGCCACTTGAACCATCAAAATAAAAAGTATCAAATTCTCATCATAACTTGTTGTTTACCCTATTTTTTATTTGAAGAGTTGAAACTACTACGAGACCTTTTATCAAAAGAAAAAAGGGTTAAAATCATAAAATCCTCTATTGTTTCTAAAAATAGTTATATAACCCTCCTCCCCCACCCAATTAAAGAAACTATCATACAATTTCTTAATATTTTCTAAAAACTATCATGTTACCCCCATTCCGTTAATTGCCCGTCTAAAACTAACAGGATAAAAGCACGTGATAGTCACATGTATTTTATTCCACTTAAATCTGACCAAATTGCCTTTTAATCACCTAATGACCATACTACCCTTTTAATCACTTTCAGTTTCCACGCCTCAAACTGAAGAAAATCTTGCAGCACAATTTAGAAAATCTCTCTATTCTTTATAGTTGCGTCTTCCATTGCAGAATAGAAAGAGATATCTTCTTCATGGTTGAGTCTTCCTTAAATCATTTGGGCACTCGATGTAATCTGAAATCTTTTCAAAACCAGGATTAAAACCTAAACCTTGTGGTTGTAACTTTGGAGCCCAACTCTCTTGCAAGAGCCCGATTGTCTATAGTTCAGGGCTTTTTTTTTTTTAGAGTGAGAGCTTGTAACATAGCTATTTTTTTTTTTTTAAAAAATCTCAATATTGCATCTTGTAATAATAAAATTGGTGTTTTTATTAACTTTCTCTCTGCAACAAACCCTTTCTTCCCCTCTGTTTTCTCCCTACTCTCTTCCATGGGAGTGGAGAGGTGCCATTTTTGCCTCCCATAGCTTCATTAAACTCGGCGTATGTCAATAAGTTCGCTCTGTTGGTGTTTTTCACGTCCTTTTTGCTTTTGTTCAGCTAGATCTGTTAATATTTGGCTTGTTTCCGGCTAGTATGGGTACGTGGATATGCTGTTTTCTAGATCTCTGATTTAAGTTGGTTTTGGTTGTTCCCGACTTGATATGATCTTTTCCACTTGATCTGATCTTGTGTGGGTTTGGATGATTTTTTCCCTTGTCGGAGGTGCCTTGTGTTGTAACTTTGGAACTGTTGCCTTGATGATGGCCATGCTTTTGGGTCTCTCCTGTTACTGCTCTTCTCCCTTAGAAGTTTCTGTTCTTGAGTTTTGACTCTTGTTCTTAACAAATTTAGAGCATATGTTCTTCATTTTTTCTTGTTTTGCTTCAAGATTTGTATGCCTTTATTTGGTTTGGCAAAAAGTGGTGTTTTCATTACAGTTTTACACGAGGATGATTAGGTTCGTTATTGTGTGTTCGTGATTACAATTTGATTTTTTTTTTGGAAGTTAAAGCAATTACTCACACATGCACCCTACTTCCATTGCAGTTCGAACCCTCAACCTTTCCTTTGGGGAGGAAGGGGTGATACGGTTGGGCCAATTGGTCCTTTGGTATTACAATTTGATTATGTTGAGTAGTAAAAAAGTTTAACTATTTAATATTGGATGTAACATAAGGTATAGAGAATTCTGAACAAGACAAATCTCGGCGGTAGCACAAATAAGGCAACTATTGTGATTGCTTTGCTGCAAGTGTATGATTAGGATCTTCATAATCAAATTTGATATTTTGAAAATCAAAATCTTCGTTTTGAATTTGTGCTACCGTCGAGTCTTGGGACTCATTTTGTTCAGAATTCTCTATATAGGGTACTCCGTCACCTTCTACAGTATAGTCGGTCCCAAAGGAGCAAAGTGGTCGGTCCCCAAATGAGCAAAGTGGTTGTGTGAGACTTTGAGTGCGTCTTGCCAAGGTCAAAAAATAAAAAATAAAATAATAATAATAAAAAAATAATCTAATACTATATCATCAATGCACAAACTGTATCTGACAAAATAGTAGAATTAAATAAAATTTTGAGGGTTTGGCCCATCTCAATGTCTGATCAAATCCATGTTTACTAAATCGAGACTCCCTCATTTAAAAAAAAAAATAATATGTGTTCCAAGCCCAAATAGAAATCAATGTTAAGCCTAGTCCAAGCACACAAAAAAAAAAAAAAAAAGTTAAAAAAGTCCAGCCCAATTTTGCTTGGTTGTTGAACTTGTTGGCCATCAACTTCCACCTGGCTCGTAAAACCCTGGACCCTAATTGTTAGGTTTACGGTACTGTTGTTGACAGGGATACTCATTTCCATGTATATCATATTGTAGTACTAGTATATAGTATATACTAATATATAATCTTATTTTATACTCATCTCTATTTGTTTAAATTTCCCCATCATCACCCACCTACCCACCACCACCACTACTGCCGCAAACCCAACCACAATCCAAATAAAGCTGGGGGATGCGTTAGAGAGAGAGAGTGAAGAGTTAGAGCGAGAGTGAATCAGAAAACATGGCAATGGCGATGGCGCTTCGCAGACTATGCTCTTCCGTCAACAAGCCTCTTCGTCCTCTCGGCGGTTCCGTCTATCACATGGTCTCTACATATATAAAAACATATACACACATTTCTGTTGAACTTCCAAAATTGTGTGATTCGTTTCGAGCTTCGTGTTCACTCTCTCCATTAATTTCATGATCTTTTTTATTGTTTTCTTATGCAGACTTCTTTGCCGAGTGAAGCACTTGACGAGAAGGAGAAATCTCGCATTACTGTAATCGATCTCTCATGGCTTTACTTCTATTTTTTTTTTTAATTGTTTTTTTAATTTTCGTCGTAACTGTCAAAAATTTGATTTTTGTTTGCTGGATACTCGCAAGATCTATAATTCAATTGATGGATTCATTGGATCTTGTTTTGTTTTTCGAGCTTGTGTTTATGCTCTAATGGGTTTTCATTGACAGTGGACAAGCCAATTGAATGCTCCATTGGAAGAGATGGATCCGGAAATCGCCAACATCATTGAACTTGAAAAAGCCAGACAATGGAAGGTACAGATTGCTATACCTTGATCCTGTTTATTTGTTTTACTCTTTGAGTAATTATCACTCTTTGTTTGATTTAGAATGAATGTTTTTTGCTTGATTGATTTATAATTATGAATATAATGTTGTACATTAATGTGTAGGTCATGAACACATCTCTATATTCTAGTATGGTTATTACTCTTCTTATACTAGTAGTATTTTTAGTAGCTTTCCACTTTAATTTGAAGCTTGGTTAATAGTTGGAAATACGATATCTTGTGTCCAGGGACTAGAACTTATACCTTCGGAGAATTTCACATCACTCTCAGTGATGCAAGCGGTTGGGTCAGTCATGACCAACAAATACAGTGAGGGGTATCCTGGTGCTAGATACTATGGAGGAAATGAGTATGAGAAGTCTTTTTATTCTCTCTCTCTCTCTTTTTTTTTTGTTTAATCTACTTTTTGAAGTTTTTCTATTCTGGTTTGTTTTACGCTGAACTGATAAATTTATTGTACCTTTAGATTCTGGTATAGTTTTCATGAACATTGGATTTATGTGCATTAAGGTACATCGACATGGCAGAGTCCTTATGTCAGAAGCGTGCGTTGGAAGCTTTTCAATTGGATCCTGAAAAATGGGGAGGTAAATGCTTTATTACATGTTTTATTCTAGAGAAATGAACAATCTTCAGTCATATATTTGATTTATCATATTTTTCTTCCTTTTGGTGAGTGGGGCCTGAGGATGCTTTCCAGATTAATTGAGTGCGACACATTTTATCTAATTGGGAATATAACTGAACCAAAAACAAATTTATTAATCACAACATGTACTAAGTGCCCCCTAATTTTATTAATTGAGAGCCTCACAGCAAAAATATAGACAATATCCTAATTAGGACACACTTCCCTACAAGTCTCTAGTTAAATTGAGCAAATAGAGATCGGTTTTAGCCTCCTGCCATGTTTAATTGAGAGCAAGCACTACCTTGATATTGTTTTGCTCTCACTTGCAAATGTATGGGCAAAAACACGGATATGTCAGCTGAAAGGGACATCTTCGAGCATAGGCATATCTCAACTGAAAATCCTTTTGTAGTTATTATCTAGCGGAAAATGTTGCCTCTTTCAATTGTTGTTACAATCTAACTATAAATTAGAAGGTAAAAAAATTTCTGCTGTATTTCTTTAAGAACAGCCTCCCCACTAATTTTTTATTTTTTATTTCCTAAATGGGGTGATTTTATAATATAAAGAACAATAGAGTACAGAACAAAAGCAGAGGGCATATCATCAAGACAGAGCCTCCCCACTAATTAAAGATGGGGAATGGCAGCCAAAAGTATTGTTCTTTAGCTTAGTTGTCTATTAACCAAGCAGAAAGTGAAAAAAAAAAACTATAACTCACTAGGATAACTGAAAGCTTAAGCGTTTTTCAATTCTTAACTTTTGGTTTTTATTTTTTTATTTTTTAATGGGATTAATTGAATCCTTTAAATATAAATTCTGATGAATGATTTCGGGGGTAGGACTGTGGGGCTGGGAAATGGGGGGACAGCTAGATGAATGAGCCATTGAGCAGCATGCATCATCATCATCCTTGCCTTAATCCCATATGAATGGGCTCAACTACATGAATTCTTTGTCTCCATTCTTTTCTATTACACGCCATTTCACTTACTATGTTCAAATGTTTAAAGCCATTTAGCATCATGCATTTTGTAGAAATTTTCCACAACTGACTGCCTAGGGTTACCAAAAGGAGATCTATGATTTTACTGCATATGTGGAACTTTTCATTGCTACATCACTATGCTAATTGGCTAGAGTGATTTTCTTTGTTGTTGTTTTTCTTGTTCCCCTTGGAAAAAATAAAAAAAATTGTGGCTGTTGTGGAATTTAGATGCCATATACAGTTGGATTATGGGGACCATGACTTGGCAGGACCAACCCGAACTCAACTTGAAATCAATCCAGTTTATTAATAGGTTTGGTTGACTTTTCGTTACTCGGGTTTGGCTTGGACTGAAAAATTTCAGTCTTACCTTAGTCTAGTTGGGTTTGGACAAAGGTGTTGGGCAATCTTAACTGAATACGAGTTCAACCTATGTTGTGTTATTATGAGAAATTGTTTAACATATAAGTAAACTGACACTAATCCAAATTTAACCCGAGTTCAGAAAAATAAAGTTGGGTTGGACGTCAAGTTAGAATCAGGCTTAGACTTCAGGTGTTATTCCTCGAGTCAAGTTTGCTAGTTGATCCTTCAACTTGACTAAGCGTCTAGTTGCATTGACTTGGATAAGGGTTTCAGAGAGATCCTTTGCTCTTTGTGGTTTTTCCAAATAGCCCTTTTAAGCTGAAAAAAAGCATTTTCACAAATTTTTATACACATATATAAATGTATTATTTATTGTTATTTTAAGGAAATATGCATTTAAGGAATTCTGATTCAAGTGAAAAGTACAAGTTTCCAGAGCTAACCCTTCAAATTTGAAGACTTATTATGTTGTCAGCTTGTTGGAAAATATTTCAAAGTCTTTCATCGAAAAAAAATATTTCAAAGCCTAAGGTTAAGTTAAGAAAGTTCTAATATTTGCAAATTAATATTTTAAATGAAGTTTATAGATATATGACAACATGTTATGAAGAAATTAGGAGTGAAGTGACATGATGACACTTACTGGTGATAAAATAAAAGAAAGTAGGTTAAGATGGTATGAACGTATACAAATAGATCATTAAATGTACCGTTGGAAAAGGAAGATTAGTTAGAGAAGAAGGTAGGAGACAAAGAGGTAGACTAAAACTAACATGGGATGAAGTACTAAGGAAAGATCTTAAGAAATTGGATATAATAGGATAACTGCAATAGAAAAGAGTGGAAAAAGGGTTTATGTGACTGAGCCTATTCGGTTGAACCAAGGCAAGGATGATAATGGCGACGATGATGAATTTGATATAAAGTTTGTCATGCACAGTTGAAGTACGGAGTTGTGTCCAGAAGTTTACCATACACGGCTGGATTACGGGGCTGTCTATGACACCATTACAGCACATATGCATGTCTAATTAAAATGCCTTAACTGGCTAGAATAGGGAGGTTTAGTGAAGAAGCATGGAAATCCTGTCAAGAAATTTCCTTGCAAGAAAAGTGTACATTTGGTCATAGCGTTAATTCTAGCTATCATTAGCAAGATGGTGCATACAACAGTCTTGGAAGACTTATGCTATTTTTGGGGATATGGTACTGGCACTTTTAATTGGAATTAGAGTAAAATTAGTTCAAGTTAAAGTAATTGACTTCTCCTTTTAAATGCTGCAAATGTCAGATTTATCAGGAATAGTGTCTGTATTCAATAGTTTTCAACATATAGTTCACAATTTTGGTACAAAAGTGGCCACGTGATAGAAAAAGAGAAGTGTAAAAGGAGAGAAGTTAAAACACAAAAAATTGGGGTTCCCTGCCCTTGTAGAGCCAAATCCATGATAACGTGGTCTCACATTTGAGGTTGCTGGTTATCCACTTGGTACTGAAAAACCTTTTTATTTCTTTTTGTTCCTGAATTTATATCATGCAACAAAACAAAAACATATTTTATTATCTCAAAATCATTCATTTGCATATGTCCATCCTTTAATGCCAACTTTAAGCACTGGAAGGGCATTGGGAAGCAATGGGTTTGACGTTGTTAAACTTTTTGAGTTAACCTCTGGCTTCAATTTATGTTTTCTTTTTCCAATTAAATGATTTGTACATTGCTTTATTGTCCTTCACTTTTTGGAAAGACTTGGATTCTGAACATTATCTTTGTTTAAACTTAAAAGTACTGCATTGTTTTTTACTTGCAGTCAATGTGCAGTCTCTATCTGGATCCCCTGCTAACTTTCAAGCTTACACTGCACTGTTGAAACCTCATGAGAGAATCATGGCGCTTGATCTTCCTCATGGTGGACATCTTTCACATGGTTATCAGGTGCTTACCACTTGCCTCATTTAACTTTTGTGAACTAGATTTTTTTGGTGATGTCCTACCCCTGAATATTAGCAAATAAAAAATTTAAAATATTGGTCATTATGGCTTATGTGTTTGTTTATTTATTGCTTCGAATGTGGAAATGTCACTACTCAGTTGTCACATACAGCAGATTGCCTTTTTTCCCTTTAGAGTTGCCACAAATCCAGATGTATGATTAGTTATTGGCAGATGCTTACCTTCTAGCCTTTTTGGGGCCAAAGTTTCCAGTTATATTGGTAATCGAGCAATCCTATTTAATCATTGGTGTGGCATGTATGCACAGAAATTGTACAGGGCAAAACTCACCTTGTTTTCTCTTCTTCTGCTCAATTACAGTATTGTCAGTATTTTGTTCTATACTACATATATTTTTGCGAAGTGCTTTAGAGTGTTTCACAGAATACAAGATAAACCTCGCTGTTCCTTCTATTTGAAATTTCAGCAGTCTTCAGTTTCTTGTTTTGTTGATATAGGCATGATACCCTTCAGAGAGCACAATCCTTTTGAATTGTGAAAACTGCAAGTGAATATTTGTGTCATAATTGAAGCAGTTTTGCACATGTATCTTATGGCTGGATCATACCTTCCATATATAATAAATATAACTACAAGAAACATGTTTGTCAAAGGTCAATACGGGCAATACAATTTAGTCTTAAAAGTAAGGAGCTAATGAGAAGTATGCCATTTTTACAGTGACACTGACATGCATGTATATTTATGTAACCTATTTACTTAGATTTAGAAGTGTAGCTTTCCCCCCCACCCCCTGGTCCAAAAAACACTCATTGTCTTATTTATGTCTGGTCAATCTGCTTTGGATCTATTATGAGTTTATAACCTACCCAAGTTTCTTGTAGATTACCCAAACCACATCAATTTGATGATTCTGATATCTTGGGTGTCCTTTCATTAAAATATAAGTCTCTTTTTCTCAAGGTAATTGCATTAGATGGTGGGCATATTTGAAACTGTTACGACAAATGTAGCGAACCAAGAACAAAACAAGAATCACGACAAAAAAATAAACATGCCACACAAAGAACACAAAGATTTACATGGTTTGACACAAGTTGTGCCTATGTCCATGGTGAAGATCTGGCAAAAGATTTCACTATATGAAAATCAGGAGATTACAAGTTTCGGCCCCAAACCGTAGTTCTCGCTCTCTCTCTCTCTCTCTCTCTCATGTGATTTTCAATGTTCTCTCATTATTCTACTCCAAACCCTAAACACCTTTATATACGGGTTACAAGAGAGTACTAAACAGGGTCCACGACCCACAAGGGAAACAATGGGTCATAAAATTTTCCCTTTTCGGGTCAACCGGGTTGCAGCACGATCTGGTCCGAAACAAAATTCGGGCCATCACGGAAACATTTTAGGTTGGACTGTTGGAGGGCTCTGAAACCAAGGATCTTACACCGCTCCTCTCACCATGAACTTCTCTTCTTTTAAAGTGATTTTGACTGCACATTGAACTTATAAAATATAAATAAAATTTGACTGCACATTGAAATTTTATTCAGTAGTTCCTTCTATTACTTGTTTTCTTTTAGGCAAATGATAATAACAGCTTTTTATGATACACTAGACTTTATCATTCTCTTGTCATTGTGCAGACAGACACCAAGAAGATATCCGCTGTCTCAATATTTTTTGAGACAATGCCATACAGATTGGATGAGAGCACTGGTTACATTGACTATGATCAGGTACCTTCAAACTCTCTTTATGGAAGTTATTGTTCCAACAGGGGTAAACTAATACTCTTGTGTGTCTTTGTGGTTTGTTATAAACTAATTACTTGTTTGCCTGTAGTTTAGTCTTGTTAAGGTTATCCTACTTCTGAAATTGAAAAGGTAGAGATAGATTGGACTCAAGTTAATTTATATTGCTGTAATCTGCTGAAAAACTGGCAAGTGCTCACCAATTTTTTCCAAAACTTAATTTACACGAAGATTGAAAAGTGCTCACTGTTTATTTCACCATCTCTTTTATCTTCATTGCCTTGTAGTGTGATACTCTTCAAATTTTTTTAGGGTCAAACAATCTATTCTATTTGCCTTCGCAATTTTGGTACCACAAACAAACACTAATTATCACAATTGTGCAATTTGCATTCTGAAGCCACTTGAAGCATTATCATAATGGTGTGGCTTGATCTTTCGCACCATTTTTGTATATATTCTACAAGGTGTCAATTAGGGTTATATCTTATTCATAGACAATGAAAATTCTCTTCTTTCTTCCGTGTTTGGGTACGAATTGGATTGTGGTAAGCTGTAAGCATGATATCCAAAATGTACCAGCCTTCTCATTCATCATTTTGTTTGCAAATCTAAACCATCTGGATTAACTGCATAAGCATATATATATATATAGGCAAACACATATATATTTTATGATGCTAAGTTTTCAAAAGTTGGCATTTGTTCGTAGTTATCTCTAGTCAGGAGAGAGTCACATGGTAATGGACAGAGTTTTTGAGTAGAATGAAAATTTTTAGTAGACGTGGAAGACGACTGAGTTACAGTTAAACTATGTAGCTAATTAGAGGTTAAGTTTTTCACTATTTTAACCCTTCATTTTTATATAATAGGGTGAGAGAAAAAGCCAAAGACCAAACCTGGTAATGGCATAATAAATAGTTATAGATGTGGACTGATTGAGAACTGAATACCTATTTTATATGTTTCTAGATTAGACTGTCTCTTCTGTTCCAGGGGCTAAAGGGGGATGTTTAGGCAGTTTAATTCTATGCATTTTATCTTTAAATTTTTTTGGTTCCATCTTGTTTATTCATTAGTAATTCCACTTTTACCCTTGCAGTTGGAGAAAAGTGCAACGCTCTTTAGGCCAAAACTTATAGTTGCTGGTGCGAGTGCTTATGCGCGCCTTTATGATTATGCGCGTATCCGCAAGGCAAATTTTCTCAGCTTGACTGATGTTATTGCAATATCATGGTTAACATCAACTTTTCTATATATTGTATAGAAGTGATGAGATTTAATTTCTGATGGATTCCACAGGTTTGTGATAAGCAGAAAGCTATCTTGTTGGCAGACATGGCACACATAAGTGGGTTGGTTGCTGCTGGTGTGATTCCATCTCCATTTGAATATGCAGATATAGTGACAACTACGACGCACAAGTCACTTCGTGGGCCACGTGGGGCAATGATCTTCTACAGGAAAGGTGTAAAAGAGATCAACAAACAAGGGCAAGAAGTGAGTTATAATTTAGGAACAAACAAGTAAAAGGAAAACATTGCTTTACGCTAGGGGCATGCGTTGCTTACCCTTATTACTGCTACATTCTGTGCAATTTTTTTAGTCATGGGGCCATGGCTGGCTTTTTTACCTGCTGAACATTTAGGTTTCAAAATGATCTATCTGGAATTTTTTTTTTCTAATTTCAAGTTCCATTCTACAGGTGTTGTATGATTATGCAGACAAAATCAATCAAGCCGTCTTTCCTGGACTTCAAGGTGGTCCCCACAATCACACTATTGCTGGCTTAGCAGTTGCGCTGAAACAGGTCTGTTTTCTTAGACTTTTTCATGCCATTTGGTCCAAGTAATTGCAGCATTGTCATATTTCTTTACACTTTTTGGTGTTATAGGAGATGTGCAAGTATTCATTTGATTGGTACTCATCATATCCAATCTTGATTCGTAATCTAAAAATTCTGTGATTTACTTATCAAAAGAAAAATTGTTATGTGATCGTAGGCCACTACTCCAGAGTACAAGGCCTATCAAGAGCAAGTCCTTAGCAATTGCTCAAAATTTGCCCAGGTACATATATTTAACAGGTGCTTTTCCAACATGTGGACTGTTGTGATTTGGTTTATATACCATATTTCTTGTTAGCAAATTTCAAATCGTAGTTGGCTTTATTATCTTTATTTTCTAACGTTTTGACTGTTATTTGTGGTGGTTTACACTTCTGAATTTTTTTAACTTTGCAGAGTTTGTTAGAGAGGGGCTATGAACTTGTGTCTGGTGGAACTGAGAACCACTTGGTCTTGGTGAATTTAAAAAACAAGGTAAGAAGACATCTTTCTTCTTTCTATGGCAATTGTTTTAGTTCTTAATCATAATATTATTTTTGCATGATGAAATGGTATCAACTGGAAAGAATCAGATGTTGATAAATATATTTTTCAACATGTTGGTCAAAAGATTCAGCAAAAAAACCTTTTTCCGTCACTTCTTAGAAAAATTCCACCAAAATGTACATGGTTGGGCATGTCTGCCAAAAACTTTAGCCATGAATCATTGTTTGTTGCTATGATCCTCTGGGTCATTGCTTGGTGTAGTGGAAGATGAATGTTCGAGTAGAAGGTAATCACTTGTGCATGTAATGCCAAAGCCCAAAAGTTTGATCTTTCCAGTCCATCCCTTCTGCCACCATTGATTAATTGGGGACCACATTGAGTAATGGTCTTTTAACTATTGCTCTGTTTAAGGGAATATTGCTGCATTGCAACAAATAAAACCGGAAAATTTCCAACCCTGTTGCCCTTAGTTCTATTGTTGGGTTTATGATCGAGAAAGTTGCACAGCCTTCATCAGAAATTTAAATACACTTCTACTGTGGGCTTTGAATAAATTTATGCATCCAATGTAATCATTATTTCATTCAGGGAAAAAAAAAGGGTAATCATTATTTTGTTAAGAAAATTGCTTTGTACAGGGTATTGATGGCTCTAGAGTTGAAAAGGTTTTGGAATTAGTTCACATTGCAGCAAATAAGAACACTGTTCCTGGAGATGTTTCCGCCATGGTGCCTGGTGGCATCCGTATGGGTAGAGACCTCATTTCATCATCTTGCACTTTTAACTACAATCTGTTAGTTCATTCTGATGAAGTCCTTATCTGGTGATTCAGGAACCCCGGCTCTCACCTCCAGGGGATTTATTGAGGAGGATTTTGTTAAAGTAGCCGAGTTTTTTGATTCTGCTGTGAAGTTGGCTCTGAAGATTAAGGCTGATGCAAAAGGTTCTTCATTTTTTGTCATGTCTTTTTCTTAGATATACAATGATATCTTTATATTTATGATATGTAATGATTAATTTCTTAGCCACAACACACGTATACTTAGTGCACTAGTCTTGGATTATGATGATCCCAGGAACGAAGTTGAAGGACTTTGTGGCGACTATGAAGTCAGATACCCAAATTCAATCTGAGATTGCAAAGCTCCGCCACGAGGTTGAGGAGTATGCCAAACAGTTCCCTACAATTGGCTTTGAGAAAGAAACAATGAAGTACAAGGACTAAAGGAGACTCTTCGCTGTTTCTGGTATGTTGCTGTACTGTGGACAGTTTGAACCAATTGTTTCGGTTTTTTGTTATTTAACTATAGGATTGAAGGCATGAGAATTCACCATCAGGCTATGGGGTTATTTATGTTGTATATTATTGCTGTCTTTTAGTTTACTTTGCAGTTTGGTATTCTCTTTGTTTCAATGACATGGCTGACTCTTGCTATCTTGTGTGAGAAATAGCTTTACAGCCTAAAAGCACAATTCACAATTTTTTGTCGGTCTCATAAATCTTTTTAGGTTATTCATAGTTAAATCTCAAGTTCTCAACATTTTGATTCAACTACTTTTGTCGTAGTTTCCTTGTTTATTCTTGATGATTTCGATTATTCCTAGCGATATATACATATATATTCTATTTAGATTAAAAAGTAACTAGGTATTGATGCTTTTATTCATGTATAGGTTGCTTTTATATTGAATGTTTCTAACACGTAGTATCTCCACGAATGTTTGTTGGTCGACAGGCTCATCATATAGCATTTGAGGTTGTTGACATTTGTAGAGGCAAAGAGGAGTTGGGAGATTCACGTACATCTCTATTAGTGAGAGGAACTCATTGGCATTCATCTGTAGCTCGCCGAAGAAAATTGGGGTAATATCTTCGTTGCAAATTGGTGAATGTGTAGTTTCGAAAAATTGATGATCTGGAATGTATAAACTTTTACGAAGGTGGCAGACGACCACCATTTCTTCATTTGGTGAATATTTTTAGGGTTGTGTTGTATCATTAAACGTGTTATAAATCCATCAAGCACGTGAGTGATCTCTTTAAATAATGATGAAGAGCTCGAATTTGCCCTTGTACCTCATCGGTTGCCTTGCTGTGTTCAGACAAGTTTGCTGCTCTTTCACTACTTGTTTACTTTGGTTTCCATGTTGAGAGCCGATGATAAATTTGACTTGGTGTGGCTAATTGAACTGGTTTTATATGCAACGGACAAGTTGTATTTAGTTGGGCTTTATTTGGATTACTAGGAGGGAAAAGAAAGGAGTAAATGGTAAAATTATTAGTTATGAAAGAAAAGAAAATAAATGAGAAAAAAATAGAGGGCAAATTATATGTAGTTGGGTTTTATTTGGTTATTAGCCGGAGAACAGAAATTAGAAGGAAAAAAAAGAAAAAGAAAAAGAAAAAAGAGAGATTTTATTTCACCTGTGTTTGGATAACTTGGGAAGAAATTACTAGGAAATGATATTGTAACAATTCTCTAATTGTGTTTAGAAAGGACAGTGGAGAGACAAGAAGAAAATGATTTGATTTATTTTTGTGAGAGGTGAGGACAGAACAGTATTTCAATTACAGTGTATTATGAATAAGGAGCAAAATGTATAATTGTCAGTATTTATAGACTTTGTTTCCTCTGGAAAGACCTTTTTCCAAAACCTCCCCTTTCTCTGTAGTTTTTTTTAAACAAACACAATTGACAATCCTTCCATTTCTTTTACTTATTTTTCTTTCAATCCAAACAAGCCTCAGTGTCTAGAGAGTGATTAGTTTAGGTTCTTGAATAATCAGTACTCATTGCGTTGGGAAAATATATGTGTGAATGAAAAAAGCAGGAAAAATAACCAACCCCATTCCCAACACGGCGCATGTGTTTGTTTTATCATTCAATATATATATATATATATTTGGATTTCAAATTAAAAAATAAAAAAAAAAAAAAAGTTACAGAATGGAATTCGGGTTCTATAAAGTGATATCTCTATTTTATTTTATTTTTAAGTGGAAGGTTGAGGCTTGACAATTCTTGTCTCCATTGGGATAAAATAGTAATTGTCTAAATAAATAAATAAATAAAATATTTGGACCAGGCCTTTACCAAATCTTATGTAGTGGGCCACAAGGCCCGGTCCAATGGAACGATACACTTGTTAGTACAGGTAGTGGGCCTAACTGACGTGGCAAAATCAATAGCGTTGCTGCTTTTATTACTATTGGAGTGGGCCCAGATGACGTGGCAATTTGGAGGTAACGTGGCAACATCATTCATTTATTACTGGAGTGGGCCCAGATTACGTGGCAAACATGATAGTATATCACTTCCCTCCACAAATTCATCCATAGGTATAGCAGAAGATAGGAAAATGTGTCTGGTGTTCATATGGCCTATCTATGAAGACGAACTGTGCAAAGATACACAACACAACTGATATATATATATATCTCACCTATAGATATACATATCAATGGCGTCTCTGCCTTCAGTTATAGGAGGTCCCACTCTCAAGCTCGAGCCAGAATTCAGAAAACACAGCACTAGCGCTCTTCCCCTCGAAAAGGTAAGACTTGCTTAATTTTGTATCAATTCATTTCATTGTTGTAATCGTTAAGAGAATTAATTTGATTGAATGTTACTTGTTCTTTGTCATCAGATAAGAAATTATGGTAATACCCAGTTGGATAAACCTTTGGATTCAATATGTTTGGACTTTAGAGAAGCATATTCAATGATAAGAGAAAGTGGGAAAGTGGAATCGTCCATGTTTGTCCCACTTTTGCAAGAATGTATAGACAAGAATTCACTTTCAGAAGCTCAATCCATTCATGCCCACATCATAAAAACAGGATTGCAAGAAGAGTTGTTTCTCATGACTTTTCTTGTCAATGCTTATGGGAAATGTGGGAGCATGGAATACGCACGCAAGGCTTTTGATGAGTTGCCTAAGAGAAATGTCGTGACATGGACGTCCCTGATGACGGGTTATGTTCACAATTCGCAGGCAAAGCTTGCTCTGCTGGTTTTCAAGGAAATGTTGGAAGTTGGTGCTTATCCGACGAATATCTCTCTAGGAATTGTTGTAAATGCTTGTTCTTCGTTGTACGCTATTGAATTGGGGAAGCAAATCCATGCCTACGTTGTAAAGTACCAAATTGAATTCGACACAAGTATTGGGAATGCCCTTTGTAGCTTATACTCTAAATGTGGCAGCTTGAATTCTGCGGTTAAAGCATTTTGGAGGATTAGGGAAAAGAATGTGATTTCCTGGACTACAGCTATATCTGCTTGTGGTGATAACAGTGATTCTGCAATGGGTTTGAATTTGTTCTCTGATATGCTTTCCGAGGGTGTCAAGCCAAATGAGTTCACGTTGACTAGTGTCTTCAGTTTGTGTAGTATAATGCAGGTTTTGGATGTAGGGTTGCAGACTCACTCATTGACCATTAAACTTGGATACGAATTGAACCTACCCGTTAGAAATTCTATTATGTATCTATACCTGAAATGTGGATGTATTAGTAATGCAAAGAAGTTGTTTGATGGAATGGAGACTGCCAACTTGATTACGTGGAATGCTATGATTGCAGGCCATGCCCAGCTGATGGATCTTGCAGAGGATAGTCTTTCCGCGCACCATGGGGGAATTGAGGCACTTAACATTTTTTTGAGAATGAATCAATCAGGTATGAAACCTGATCTATTCACTTTCTCAAGCATACTAAGCATATGTAGTGGTTTGGTGGCTTTGGAACAAGGGGAACAAGTTCATGCTCAGACCATAAAAACCGGATATTTGTCTGATGTGGTTGTTGGAACTTCCTTAGTGAACATGTATAATAAATGCGGTAGCATTGAGAGAGCAAGTAAAGCTTTTGTGGAGATGTCTATGAGAACTTTGATATCTTGGACTGCTATGATTACAGGGTATGCACAACATGGCCACTCTCAACAGGCACTGCAGCTCTTTGAAGATATGAGATTGGCAGGGGTAAGGCCGAACAGGATTACCTTTGTGGGTGTTCTTTCAGCTTGTAGTCATGCTGGAATGGCCAAAGAGGCTTTGGCGTTATTTGAGATGATGAAAAACGAGTATAAAATCAAGCCTGTAATGGACCATTTTGTGTGTCTGGTTGATATGTTTGTTAGGTTAGGTCAGTTAGATGAAGCTATGGATTTTATCAACAAAATGGATTTTGAGCCCAACGAGTCTATATGGTCAACCTTGGTCGCAGGCTGTAGAAATCGTGGGAATTTAGAGTTAGGGCTTTATGCTGCTGAACAGTTACTCAAACTCAATCCAAATGATTCCGAGACTTATGTCCTGTTACTGAATATGTACCTCTCCGCTGGGAGATGGGAGGATGTTTCAAAGGTGAGAAAAATGGTGAGAGATGAGAAACTCGGAAAACTGGAGGATTGGAGCTGGATTAGCATTAAAGATAAGGTTTATTCATTCAAACCTGATGACCAATTCCATCCTCCACACGGAGAGTTGGACAAATTATTGGGGGATTATCTCGAGAAAGCAAGGACACTTGGATATGAGTCACAAGGAGGCTTAGAGGTAACAGATGAAGAGAATGTTGAAACAACTTCCTCTAATGTTGTTCATCACAGCGAAAAGTTAGCTGTTGCATTTGGGTTGCTGAACACACCAGATGCTGCAACAATACGGGTCAATAAGAATATTAGCATGTGTAGGGATTGCCATAGTTTTATTAAATTCATCTCATTATTGACTGCAAGGAAGATCATCATTCGGGATAGGAAGCAGCTGCACAAATTCTTTAATGGGCAGTGTTCATGTGGGGATTTAGCAAGTCTTCTTTGATATATTTGAGTTCTAATTGATAAGAAGGCTAGCCCATAATTTTTCTATCTTTTTACCTTTCATGTTGTCACGAAAATTCGTTGTATGGACCGTGGAGTTACAAATTGCAGCAGTGGCTTCTGGATTTGCATACCATGCGAGGGTTGAGTCAAGGGGATGGAATTAATTAAATAGGTCAGTATAAAGAGATTTAGCTCCAGTAAGTGCTGTAAGACAAAATTTATCTGTATTTTTTTTTGCTCAGGTAAATATAAACTTAGTTGTATTTTTGTGGTATCATTCCTTTTTGTCCTTCCTAAGTTCTCATCCACCCAGCCTCATCATGGCTACATAGTTCAACAAATTCAGACTAATCTTTTTATTTTAAAGTAAATAAAAATACACACCAATATTACTGTCTTAATTGGTCAACTTCTAGCATTTGCCATGTTTAGCTATGGAATCCTGTGTCTGGTTTTTGTTTGGTTCCTATGATCTGCTTTGAATTAGATTTTGTTTCTCCTAGTTTCAGTAATTGATTTTTCATAATTTTCTTCTTGTCTGGTTACTGCAAGACAGTGAATTCTTGCAAATATTCTTGAGTTTCTTTTGTTTTGGTTTTATTTTATTTTATTTTATTTTATTTTTCTATATATTCTTGAGTTTGTTAATTAACTTTCCAGTTGCAAAAATTTTCCTGTTGAAAGCTCCCAGCTCTATGTTTTCTGTTAAGATGACAGAACTTTGTTGATATTAGATTGTCAAAGAATATATATATATATATATATTTTTTTTTACTTTTTTGTCATTGACAAGAAAATACACACGCAAATGACACATTGTACTTTGACATGCGAGTTTAAATTATTTGAAACTCCGACAACAACGACGTCCTGCCATTCACGCTCAAGGCCTCAAATTCTTGAATTAATTAATTTATTTTTTCTTCTTCTTTAAGAAAGTTCAAGTAGACATACTACCCACTGTATATATATCATGTCTCCACCTAGACTTCTTTTTGTTAGTAATGCAATGTTTGTACCTTTTGTTTTGGTTAATGGTTGTATTTGGTTAATTTACTTTTGTTCCTAATGCAATTGTGCTTTGTACAATTGGTGACTTCTCAACAATGCAATGATTATGGTAAGTCTTGGTTACTTTGTACATAACATTTGGTTATTTCTCTCTCTCCAAATTTTTTGGTAACTTTTGGTCACCAGTCAGTTTTTTTCTTTTTTTGTTCAAACTGAAATTGAATTAGGTCACTTACATCAAATTGAGTTGGTCACACTCTCAAATTGAGTCGGTGACACCTGTCAAATTGAATTGGTCATATTCTTAAATTGACTGTGTGATAATATATGTGTGCAATCATATAACTACTCTGAACAAAAACATCATCACACACCTAGCATAACAAAACTATAAAAGCAAGCATTGTCATAAACATAACATAATCGTCAGACAAGCATTATCATATTACATTATAATAACAATTGAATACAAGATAACATAAATGGTCATATAACTATAAATCACTCCATATACAAATTAGCAAAGATTGGGCTTTCAGTCAGTACCATCATTTACAAATTATTTTTTTTTTTAAAAAATTTAATTATTCACCCAAGAAATAAACGGGATTAGCGCAAAAAGGATTAGATTTTTGGTTGAAATGTAAAATTTTGGATTAAAATATAACTTGAAAACACATGCATCTAAGTCCTAATAATATTTTGGGGTTTTTAGTATAAAAATATTGAGGATATTTAGGGTGGGAAGTGTATTTAAACATTTTTATTTTCTACCTAATTTTGCATCAACATTGTGCCAACACACTCTTTAGACACTTGTTACACAAATGAGACTCGTATCCATATCTTCTTATGCATTACAATGAATAACTCGTTCCAACTAATTACATATAAATATTTACAACCTCTACAAAACTCGTCACCCTTTTAAAATATTCTTTAATTTGAAAATTACCATAGACTCTCTAGAATTTTCCATCACTTTACAATACTTCACAACTCTCTCTACACAGTTGTAGCAAATTCACTCAGCTCCTCCCATGTTGCCCATGGCAAGACAGTGGGGATGGATTTTGTAGAATATTTTCGTAATTGTAATACGATCCTAACAGAAGTAAATAATATTACAAATTTTCAACTATAATAATTTTTTTCCTCTTACATGGATAAAAATAAGATTCAACTTCTCAATTGAAACTTTAAGACTAAAATTATTGTTGGAATATCAAATAAGAATAATACAAAAGAGTATTTAGTGATTGGAATAAATAAATTAGGATTTGCTTAATATATACTTAATATTATTGAATATTAAATAAAGTATAAGGATAAAATTATAATTTATCATTATAAATGGGGTGAGGCGGAGTGACATTTCCCTATCCCCGCCCTATAACCATGTGGGTTTTCAATTTTCACCCCTATGCCCACTCCAAAACCATTTAACCACTCCAATAACCATTTTAAATGATACCCGACGGGGCGGGATATTTTGCCATCCCTAGCCCCAGCCAATTAGTATTTAATATATTCCATGTCTTTAGTATTTGGTTTATCACTTTCTGATCTTAGCATTGTATTTCCAGTATGATGCTTAGGTCTCTTTCCTTCCTTTTGTTTTGGTGGTTGTGGTTTGCAGATGCAGGCTTGGAGTATGCCCCTTCCTGGTGTGTTTTAGGGGATATGCCCCTTCCTGGTGTGTTTTAGGGGATCACTTTCTTGTGTGTACTTTATTTTTCTTGTATAAATAAAAATTCAACCCATTCAGGAAATAATAATAATAAATAAAAAATATGTCCCCCCTAAAATTGATAAAATGCCCCCCTTAAGCCCTTGGTAGCCCTCTAAATCTTATTTTATTCTATGCATATAGTTTGTAAAAAATTAGGAAATACCCCCATAAATTATCTAATTATAAAAATATTTTTAATTCTTTATTTCTTTTCTTTCTTATCTTATTTTTCAAATTTCATTTTGCTCTCTTCAAAAAGAAATTTGCAATTTCTTTCTAATCTCTTCAAAAAGAAATTTGCAATTTCTTTCTACTATATTTCAACTGGTTGTCTTGCTGTAGTTAGTGAAATTTTTTTATATATATTTTGGCATAGTTAGCTTGCCCCTTGAACCAAATTCTTGGCTCCGCCCTACGCATATTTGTCTGCACACGTATTGTATTCAGCTCCACCGGTAGTTATTAACTTACCTGTACAATGTTTGTGTTTATAAGATTTTAGAATTCTTTATTATTTAATGAGTTCAAATTATTATTTTTTTCTAAAAAAATGTGATCCGTTACAATAAACAAAATTATGTCTTAGAAATAATCTTTGCATTCTGGACCTGAAATTTTTTTGTATGCTATATTTTGGAAATCAGGCAATTCTCTTTTCTCTGACCGTTGTCTAATCAACGTCAGCTGAACATAGGTATTGTGAAATTGATGTTTTGGTACAGTGGCAAACAACAAAACTCGGTTTAAATTAAATTGCATGAAATATATTACGAACTGGGAGTTCAAATTGTAGCGAGAAATAATTTTGAGGCCGATTATTTAAGGTGAATTGCCTGAACTGCATGTTTTGATTGGTCACGTGTGCAAAATAAAAAGAAATGAGACTCTCTACCATCCTATATTTGGTAAATATGACCAATCAAATCTTGCAAGTCAGACAATTCACTTTGACAGCTCGGTTCAACTATCACTTACTCAATTGCAGCAGTAGCTTTTGGATTTGCATACTATGTGAGGTTTTAGTTAAGGGGATCAAATTAATTAAAGATTTAGCTCCAGTAACTGTTGTAAGACCAAATTTATCTGTATTTTTTTGGCTCAGATAAATATAAACTTTGTTATATTTTTTAAGCCTTATTTATTTTTGTCCTTTGTCTTCCTAACTTCTCATCCACCCTGCCTCATCATGGCTACATAGTTCAACAAATTCACACTAATATTTTTACTTTGGGGAAAGTAAATACTCACCAATATTGGTGTATATTACTAGTATACACCGTTTGTGAGGTTGAATTTGATGGCAAGTTATATGTACAAAAGGGAATATAGACATTTATTTTTCAGCACCAGACTTACACCTTCATTTTGTCGTGTACGGACACGATACGACATGGATACGTTAGCACGTCAAATTTTAAAAAAGTAAAACATGAGTACGACTACATAATAATATAAATTTTTATTATTATACATTTATTCAGTAATAGTATTATAACGAATATTTGACTTCATATCATCTTGAGTTCATGTTCTTGTACAAGTCTGTCCAACTTTTACAATTGCAAAAAACATTAAGATATATTCAATAAACCATAAATATAGCTTGGAATTGTTTTACTACTTCAAAAATAATTTTTTTTTTAAATATATTTATTATTATTATCATCATCACAAAGAGTCAAAAACAATATGGAATTCTTACAACAGTTGTTCTTTAAAACTGATGCTAGTCTTTTACTATTTGATTTCATTCGCTAGAGTAAGAGATTATTTCTGTCAGTTTATTTTTAACAATGCTATTTTTAATCTTTTGAAAAAGAACTATACTAAAAAATTAATGAAATTAATAAAATCATATTTGTTAATAGTGTAGAATTTATATTTTTGAAATTATAAAGAAAGTTTATTTTAATTTTCTTTTATTAGCACCTAATATAATGGTAACTAATATGTCTACCCATAATATGTCTACCCAATTATCACTCTCGTCATACGAACGATCTCAATTCTTCACACATTTTTATAAATTGATGATGAATTGCAAATATTGCTTGTTATAGGTCCACTCCTTCACACACTTTTATAAATTGATGGTGAATTGTAAAAGTCACTCGTTATAGATGTCACTCTTTAGACACTTATAAATTAGTGATACACATGTCACTCTGACTTTTTATAGGCATCCTCCCTTATAATCAATGACTAATTTACACCTTCTATAACTTTCCATCTAATTATACAAGACAACATGTAATCTCTCCGAAACTTTTTATCAATGTAGAATATCATCTGACTAACGAATTGGTATAAATTCTCTAACATTATAGAATCCCCTATCATTCTTCAACATTTTACAATTCTTTACGTTATTCTCTCACATTTTAAAAAGTAAGAAACAAATACTCCCTTTATACTAAAAAGAAAGTCTCTTTTATTTTTATTTTTATTCTATTGATAGTCAATGAATTATCAAATTAATAATGTTACAAAATATATATATATATATATATATATATATATATATATGTGCTTAA